GTTTCATCCCAAGGATGAGGTTTTGGTGATGATGAGAGACAAAAACGCAGAGCTCAGAGCCCGGACCTTAAAGTGTATCGTGAAAGCCGTATTGAGTAGCGGGAAGATGCTCGTCCGTTTACTGTGCCAACTGTCAACTTCGTTGTCATCGATCATGGGCAGGTATTGGACTGTGGCGCAGCACTAGTGACAAAGCCACCACTTATAAAGCATCGAACTGGGCAGGAGCTCAGAGGCGTCAAAGAAACCCCGCTCAGAATGGCGAGGATTCCCTGTCCTCTATCAGGCGGTGGAGAGGGCGATCTAGTGGTGACAGGAATGCCAGGCGACGTGGGCGGCGGAGCGGAGCGACGTGGGTTTGTGTGCACACGCCTGAAGGACAGGAAGGCCCATGAGAACATGCAAGACGGCAGGAGTCGTATCAATTCTGATGCGACCTTATACTTGGGACATGGGGTAGGTCGGGTAGGACATGGGGTAGGGCGCTTCACCGCTTTATAAAATTTGTGATCGCTCGTTATACATGGGGCTTTGTTTGTGCTGATGAGAGTGAAATGTGCGCATCATATTCAACGCTTGAAGCCATTTGATGCGGTCCATGTTGTGGTTCGTTCTTGTTGGGTATGTGGTCACTTGTGTTGAATTATTTAATCACTCTAAGTCCATGTTTCGAACTAAGTCTTCTCTTAATTGATCGCTCTCGTCGTGCCATCTTAGAGCATACGTGTCTTATTTCTATGAAAATAGAGAAACTCTTATTTTCCCCACCAGATGGAAGGACTGAGAAGAGCGTGATATAATGATATAATGCATCCGCTGTCGCGGACTGCGTTTGTAATATTTCGAGAAAATATTTTGAAAAGTTTCATATCATGTTGATCCTCACCTAATAATTGCACGCTCACCGTGTTCTGTAACAGACGGCACGCCCTACTGCGCAAATCTGTGCACTGTGAAGAAGACCGGGCGAGGCAGTGCAGCTGGTTATAACCTTCTGGATTGGATACCACGCGTATCATGTCCACTTATGCTTTGTTTGGACGCTCGCTGAGACTATCCTTTGGATGCAGTTGATGCGCTGACACCGTCTCCTGGTCGACGAGCCGAATCCCTCACTCAGCGGCGGTTTCCCGCGCCTGTAAGCTGACGCCGTGTTTGTGTTCGCCGTTCGGACGAGGCGCGCCCGGACTGATAGCGTCCTGTCAAACATTGGTCCCCATGTGGTCGGCCATGCGCGAAGCACCGCGCCCCTCTATTAAAGACCGCTAGCAAACAGCAGGACAGTTATGCATGGAGAGGTTGGTGCCGAGGTGATGGAGCTGCATGGGAACGCAGGGTGCAGCGTGGCTGAGCTGGAGACCAGAGGCAAGCGACCTCCTCCCATAGGTGAAGGGGAGATATTGATGACCAATTGGTGTTAATGTTTCCAGGACACGTGGGCAAACATTAGATGTCCACGAAATCAGCTCTGAAACCCTTTCTCCTTGAATCGACGAGTCCTCCTGCATACTATACTACTTCGAGGACTCCCGAACCCAAAAATAAGACGAGATTAAGTATGACATTGCAATCAATGCAATGGAGCCAGAACGTCCCGTTCACAGCGCGGTTTCTCCTGGCTTGCATATGTATGACTGTGTATCCAGTCAAGTGTACGTCCACGCTTGAGACTGTGCCTCTGGCCGACTGACGCGACAGCGTCCAGTTAAGTCGATGCTGTACCCGAGGGCATGCATTTTGCAACCTAAATGCCGCGGCAGCTCCTCGGAAATACATGGCCGGCATGAGCCATTGCAAGTGTGGGAGGCACCGCGACTCACCGTGCTGATATGGCGTTGTCACGGTGTGAGCTGTCGTGCAGCCGTCGAGCCCGCCGGCGGGCAGCTCCAGCGCACCGCTGCAGGTCACTGTGCCGTATCACCGTGGCAGGTCGCTGTGCCGTATCACCGTGGCAGGCCCGCTGACCTGCCGGTCGCCAGTCTCATAAAGAGAAGGTCCTGGCTGGAAGGTCCTAAATCCCTCACCTCTGACTGGCCTGGGAAATTGGGGTGCAATTTCTTACCCCCAACGTCCGTTTCAGAAAGCCCCTGTCGCTCCTCCGAAGTGAACCGCTACGAGGACGAGTCTGGAGCTTTTTGATAACTGAATTTATTGCTGACGTTACTTGGTCATGGGCTCCTACCATGAAACCACGGCGACATGCTGTCGATCATGCAGAGCTTCTGCGCAGCGATCGGGCGAGACAAAACATGAGGTGCTCTCCAGCGCCCTGGCCCACGGGCTACAGCGGCGACACTCCGGTTTCGTGGCCCTGTCGAGAGCCCGACGTCCCTGTTGACGGACAAGACACTGTACCGCCGTTCTGCCGATCTTGTGGTGCTTCAACGGGAACCAGGAAGGCCGCACCGAGCTTAAAATGTTCTATGCACTTTGTGTCACACTGCTTTTCTGTCTCCATTGTTGGGTTGACTGCAGGATTAAATGAAGTGAAATGAAAGCCGATCAGTCCATTTCGACCGACCCTTCAGCCTGCCTTTAGCCTGCCTTCAGCCTTCACCCTTCAGCCTGCCTTCAGCCTGCACCCTTCAGCCTGCCTTCAGCCTTCACCCGTCAGCCTGCCTTCAGCCTGCCTTCAGCCTTCACCCTTAAGCCTGCCTTCAGCCTGTCTTCAACCTTCACCCTCCAGCTTACGTAACATTAATGTCAACCAACCCTTCAGCCTGCGTAACATAAACTTCGACCAACTGGGTTTAACAACGACGGCTATTGAGGGAGGACGGCTCAGTGCTGAAGAGCCTTGGACCAGTTCAATGACTGACCTCGTACCTGATATGTCCTGGGGTGGCCTCAGGCCTCGCATATCCTCGGACGGTGGTCGGCAGCCGCTGCCGACGCCGTTCTGCTCGGCTATGACGCCGGTCGTGGCGTTGCGCACCGCACCGGGCCGATGGCCGCTGCTGGCAGGCGCCCGCAGTCTCGCCGCCGACGGCCCAGCTGCGCGATCGAAGCCAAGAATAGCCGACCCGTGCCGGACCGGGCCTAGGCCAGGCCGGGCGGCAGACAGTGCGAATCAGCCGACAGCGGCCGCCGATCGTCCGCCGCCGGCCCGTCGGCGGCGCGGTCACGGACGACACTTGCGCGTCGGTTTCTGTGCCATGGCCACGGGGCGGTGCCAGCACCCGAGCGGGAACGTCGCCACCGACGCTCGTTACCGGTGTGGCTGGCGCCGATGCAGACGCGCGTCGGATTGCGCGAGACGCTCGGTTTCGGGCGGTTAGTGGGCACGGAGCCTGCGCCGGAGGAGCGCGAGCAGTCCGCTCCGCTTGGGCGGAGCCGCTGCGTGCTCTCCGCGCACCGGCGCCGGGCGGCGCGCCGCAGCCCGCCCGACACACTTGGCCGGAATCCGGCCGTCGGGCTGACCCAACAGCGAAAGGAGGAGGAGCATTCCGACTCCGTATAACTCCGGTCCGACCGGTCGCCGCCCAGGTGCGCTGCACTCGGCCGGAATCCGTGAGGTAGTCTGCTCAGACAGGGTCAACGACTCCAGCCCATTAGAGGACCGGCTGAAGGGTCTGGCGGCCATAAAACACAGCTGATCTCGGGACTGGCCGACGGGCGAACGAAACGTTTGGTCAGGGTTGAAGGTAACATGCATGGCGTCTCTTGTGGTACCCACACGCCCTTTCTGAAGCCTTTAAGGTGCCCGTTGATGACGCCCCCGGAGGGAACTGCACCCTTTGAAAGTCATCAGTTGTGCGCCGTCTGAGTAACACATGTGACGGCATTCTCAGCCTGGACCAATCACCCGTGCACTATGAACACAAGAGGTTCCTGTCCGGTGATTAGCGCACTGGGCGCAGCTGTGTCGATGGCGCCACACGTGTCGTGTCGCTCGTCCAAACGAGGCGGCTAATCGGTGTATTAGCTGCTACTGATGGGCCGTGGTGGCCTGCTCTCAGCCGGTCCGCCCCGGCTCTGTGCGGCCGGACAGGGCTGCCGGCCGGCAGAGGCGCGGCGGCAGCGCCAGCACACCGGCGCCCGATTACCTGCAGCGGTATTGTGTCGACTGCGGCCTGAAACATCTCGCGAGCCGAATCCATGACCGAATCAAACCATAAGTGACGGTTCGTCTCGATGGTTAACTTGGTTAGAACCTTTAAATCCCTCACCCGCGGCGGGGTGGGTGCGAATCACTGTAGCGTGTCGCTCGCTATCTGCCGCTGCCCGATGCCTGGGGGGGGGGGGGGGGGGGGGCAGCGGTTGCGCTTAAGGTGAAGCGACACGTGCGCGCAGGACGGCTCGTGCCGATCATTGTAGTATGTTTAGCTTTCGCCACTAAAGTCTGCTGTTGACCCGGAATTTTTACGATATGATGGTGAAATCGGGACTCACGCAACAAATACCGGTTAGTGTGGACACCAATCCCAGAAATCCAGCCGATCGAAGGGTTCAGGCTAAATCCTTAAAAAAGATCCCACTCTTCCCACTTAGAGTAAGCTTTGTCCGCCGTTTGGCGTGGACCAGAAAACGCGAGCAAATAAGCGAGAACGTGCCCGGCATGCGGCATTAGCGTAAAACGAAAACAGATAGGCGCTAACGCTATTACCTTTGCAGCTATGTGTTCTAGCTGACTAGTATTCCTCAATCGGGTATCAGATAACCGCTCGAAATCTGAGTCGTGCCAAAGCAGTGCAATTGTTCAAAGACATTCGGGTTCAGAGGTGGTAACGTGATAAAAAGATCACAGCATGTACCGCGGTAATAGGTTGATAGGTATACACATATCCTGATGGGAAACTCAGACCAGAGCCCTACAGACGCAGGGAAATGTCTGCAGGTGGTTGGTGGTTTAAAGGCGGCTGGTAAGTTTCAAACGTGTGGCGTTTTCTCTTCCATGCGCACTGGAGACACGCCGGTGGGAGCTGCCGTTCCAGCGTTTTGAGTCATGCCGTGTGCCTCACAATGCCGTCACATGCCTGACGCCGTGCGACGTGTTCCAGTGGGTTCCTGGTTCCTGTCGCCGCTGCTGTCGGGCGTCATCTCGGTCTGCATCTTCCTGATCGTGCGGATGCTGGTGCTGCGGCGTCCCGAGCCGCTGGAGCCCGGCCTGCGCTCCCTTCCCTTCTTCTACGGCTTCACCATCTTGATCAACGTCTTCAGCGTCGTACACGACGGACCCAAATGTGAGCATGCCTACAAACCGGGGCCACACCGGCGGTTAAGACCGGCGCTGGATGGTAGATGTGTGCAGAGATACAGCGACTGTGTTCGCGCTTGGTGCCTCATGCCTTGGAGCTAGTGTACTCGTGGGTTGGAAGTTCGATGAAACGGTCGAGACGAAACTGGCTCGTTGGAATGAAAGCTTCAGCGGCTTTGGAAGCGAGGCCTAGTCTCCGGAGCCTGTTTACGTTGCGTTGGTGAGATCTCGAGTCGATTGACCCGTGGGAAGCTGAACCAACCCCGCGATTGTTTTCCCGTGACGGACCGGCAGTCAAGCAGCCTTGAATTGCGTTGTGTGTTACCGAGATCTGGCCGATCAGCAGCCGTACGCCGGCTTCTGCTTGGACTCCAGACCGCTGCCGCTCGATGTGTCTCATGTGATCACGTTAGCCACTCAGGCATACGCTGAGTGGCAGTGACGGACTCCGGGGTAGGACGAAGGCGGTCCCCGCAGTCCGTGCTACTTTTACTCAACAGTCCGGTTTGCTCTCAGTGTCTGTCAAGTCCATAAAGTCATTCGACATCTTTTCTCGTGGCATGAAGTAATTGGAATGCCCGCTTTCATCTGCCTTCATTTTATTGCTTTGACCGCAACTCTCCCCTTGTCCTTGTGTCCTTTTCTCTAGGGAATAGAAAGCTGCATCCCGTAGCCATTGTAGAACTCGGTAGCATGAAAGTCGCCTACGCTTCTTACGAAGTTCGCGGCGGTGCTTCATTGCCGATTGCCGTCATGAGGCCTCTGGTACAACAGATTGCCCAGTCTTCTGAGCATAGTTCATGAAGCAATTTGAGACAAACGCATTATCGCGGGTATTGACGTCAAGCCAATTGGCGTGCGTTCCATGGTCCACATGTCCAACTAACTCCAATAATGAATCACATCAGCACTCTCTCTACGTTGGCGTGATAGGCATATCTACCAGAACGGGCATGAGGGACTTCCTCCAAGGCTTGGGGTGCCCCCCCCCCCCCCCATCCCGCGCGGGCTGCCGCCACAGAGTTGGCGCCAGATAGCGGGTGAACAGCCTCCTGGACAAGGCACGACAGGGCGCACCAGCGTCCAGCAGCGTCCAATCTTACTGCACTAACGTCTGGGCTGGACTGCTGCAAACGTAAACAGGGTGCGCGTCTGCGGTTTTGTGCTGATCTGTGATACAGCCACGGTGTTGTGCCTGCCTCTAATCCGGGTCTGGGATGCTTGCTGCTGACCTGTGACGCCGTTATATTGTTGTGTCTGGCTGGTATGTCGGGCTGGGGTGTCAACGCTGCTGACTGTGATGCCGTTGCAGCGATATAGGGGGACCGGTCTGTTGCTAAGGACCTTCATTACTTGCTGCGATTCGCAAGCGTGGTTCAAAACATGCAGTCAGTCGCTAAAAAGAGGCAAAATGATCGCGCCTCGTGCACTACATTTGTCCGCCGTGGACACTGGCCGGGCTGCACCGACCGCCAAATCACTGCCCAGGCGCCCCACCTTGACCCGACCCGGGTCGTTGTCGGCTTTGCGCATCGTTGCTACGGAACGCGCGGGCTTGGTACAGCGGGGCGCCCTCGGCGGGCTCGGTACATACCCCCGGTGCGCTCGGTACATGAAGCGCCCCCGGCGGTCTCGGTACTCGAACACATTAAATCAGTGGCCCGCAGAACAGATAAGCTGCATTCAAGCTGCACAAGCTGCTGCAAGTTACACAGATTGCATCCGCGGGTGTTAGTAGAATATCACGCTGCCAGACATTTTTTTCAGTCATCGTTATTACCTGTAAAACTTCGGTACGGTCCTAAACTGGTGCACACACAGGTTCCCAAGCTTAGCAGCAGACACCAGTACGCAGACGCTACAGCTGAAGCCCCTTTTACGATGTGAACCGGTCTTGTGATGCCGTTTGGCAGGATACCGATCTGGGGTGCCATGCTGACCTGTGGTGCCGTTACAGTGATGTACCTGGACCGGATACCGACCTGGGTTGCCATGCTGACCTGCGGTGCCGTTACAGTGATGTACCTGGACCGGATACCGATCTGGGGTGTTGTGCTGATCTCGGTAGGAGCTGGCCTTCTAGTCGCCATCTGCATTCAGCTGTTCCTGGTGCCCAGACTGCGCCGGCAGATCAAGGGTAGGTGACGTCTGTCTGTCCCTTTTTGCCAGCTGAAGATTACGTCGGGGTGGCAATTAACTATTTCATGAGTGAGATGAAATGTTTACTCTAGCGTAGGTGTGATGGGGAACCAGTGAAAAAGCAAGTGGATACCAGCTCACAACGAAACGGATCAGAACTGACTTGGCCTCGAGCTAGGGCATGTTAATCATCCTTTACAGAGCTAAAAAATGGTATAAGTAAGAAACAGATGTGATAAATTTTGTTTTATCTACTTTTTTGAGGGCCGAAATAACAGGCCATCAAAATTTTTGTTTTCGTTGGAAGGAAAGTACAAATAAGATCTAGACCAATTTTTACTCGCTTTGCAAACCAAATTACGTTATTCTCTTTGCTTTACATAAAATGTCGTAGGATACACAATTAAGAGACTTAACAATACGGTGTTATCTGACCATCAAGCGTGGGACTCTGCACCTTCCAGACCTGTCAGTGACTCTCCTGGCGCCACGGCAGTCCTCTCGCTCTGTTTAGCCGTTGCGGGACGCGGGTGCCGCCGTAATTCCTTGCAGCGTACGTCATCGGCTCAGCGTGCGGCCGGATATCAACCCTGGTCCCACTCACTGGCAGCATCGCCAACGGAAGCATCCCGGGCATGCCGACCCCATCTGCCTGTTCGCGACGCCTCGCAGACGCCAGCTGCTGACATTCATGGTGTCGGCTATTCTCTTGTACTCGTCCAGCGTCGCAGGCGGGTGTGGAAGCACTTTCATTGAAATCAGTGGTGGTTTAAAAACCACGTGGCCGTTGCGCACCACATGGCGCCGGCCGCGCCCTCGCTAGCGCCCGGCCCGGTCCAGACGGATGTCTGGGTGCAATCTGATACGTGTAGGGTTGGGTGTTTGGCGCGTGGCATTGGGTCACGTGGTCTTGATATATGCAGTCTGGCCTCGCCGTGCTGTGTGTCAAGCGCGTGTTGGTGGCAGGGAATGTGCGACGGTTCAGGTCTTGTGTCAGGCACACGTCCTGTGGAACATCAGCTGAGCGTGTCGAAGCGAGCGTTGGACACACGCCAGCGTCACACAATCAGATGGGTGTCGGGATCTGTGTCGGGCGCGCGTCAAATGGAAGCTGATCTGACGAGTGCTGAGCTGTGTGCCGTGTCCGTATCGCCGGGACATGGTGCGATGCGTGTTTGGCTGGGTGCCGATGGGTTCCGTGGACAGATCCGCCATGCGTGGGGCTGTGCGCTGGGCGCGTGTCAGCAGACTTGCGCTGGGAGCAGCGGTGGACGTAGGTCCGAGCCTGTCGCCGCCGGCGTCGTCCACCGCCAGCCAGACACGCGGTCACCGGCGGCGGCGGCGGTCGGAGGCCAAGAAGGCGGCGGCCCCGCGTGCCTCGCGTTCTTTAGACCTTGCTAAACCTAGCTGAACTACGTGACGCGCTCACGCTTCGGGTAGTGACGCTCACCGGTTTGGTTAGAGCAATTTGAGCTCAGAAACGTGGAGTTGCATGCGCAGAGACAAAAAAGATAACTGATCGGTGTCGAAAAATCGAGAAAGCGTTGTCCACGCCGACGTATATGCGTCAACGCCGATGTCGATCCATCTTCATCACGCATGGGACCACGTATCGTTTGCATCATCGACGTTTCGCCTCGTCGCACGCCGTTGCTTGATTGGGTACGTGTCTCTAAACGCCCCTGCTGCGACGTTAGCGGCAGGGCACAGTATGCGAGCGGTATCTGCCGGCTGCCTGGGTCACAGCTCCTGTTGGAGTGACGCTGTCAGCTGGCACCGGCCGACACGGACCGCTGCCGGCTGCCGGCTGCCTGGGTCACAGTTCCTGTTGGAGTGACACTGTCAGCTGGCACCGGCCGACACGGACCGCTAACGGCTATGTGCGACTGCTCACACATACACGGATCACCTGGCGCGAGGACTGACCGGCCGAGACCTGCTCAACGACCCCAGTCGTTCCTGGCGGGGGGGGGGGGGGGGGGAGGTTCTAGATAATGACATCGGTTTTATCTCTCAACATTTGTAGGAGTAAGGTCGGGATGACTGGTCTGTCGTGGGGCGCATGTCTCCAGCTAGTGGTTGCAAGAATGCCCTCTGCTCTTCGCACGCTCGTAGTGACGGATCGCGGTGTGCGGGTTTGGCTAAGCGTGGTATGGACGCGAATATTCAGGATGACCCGTTGTTACAGTGTGCGATGTCGAGATGTGACGTCACTGTGGCGTCGCTGAACCACCAGCGGGTAGGCGACGGCGGGGCTCAGGGTTATTCGCTGAGAAGTGTGGACGGGGGCTCGGGGTCATGCTCTGGGATGAGTCGGCGGGGGCTCGGGCTCGACATTTTTTTGCAGCTAGATATGGCTACGATAACTGTAAGCAATAAGCTGCGTAACGTGCGCATTCATTGCCAGCCTGGGCTCTCTCCACGGCGTTTTCAGTTCGAGTTTGATTTTGTTCCGACTTGATGAAACCTATCGTTCGCAAAGAACCCTCGCTGCTAGGAAGCTGATATATCCGTTCACTTGCCAATCACCTCACACTAGAGTCTGGATCTTGGTGGTAGCGGGAATGAGCGGGCGCATTGCTTATTATTGGTGTAGAGTGATGCGTCGCCTTCCTATGCTTGAGCGTACAGTTCGTTCGCGAAGTAGGTATATTCGTTGCTAGTAAATCCGGTATGTTGTCATTTACCTCGCCAGAAATGTAGCTGTTTTTCAGTACATAAGTAGCTTAACAGATCTCATTTGTGACGTCCCATCCCATCCCATCCCATTTGGTCAGCGACAGTAAACGACAGCAGATTGCTCAGCAGTTCTGTTCCTGTTGCTTCAGACAGCGACGAAAGCTGCGCTTTGCGATGGGTCGCGGCCGTTGGTTTGGAGCCTAACTTGTCAGGAATTTGATGAAAGCTGAGCTTGCAATGTAAACTGTTCGTCACGGTTGCACGTGTTGAATTATCTTTCCGATTTCGTAATGAGTTTCACAGGCGTGGCAAGCACAAGAAGTCTTGATAAAAAGTAAAATAAACACATCTCCAGCTCATGTCTATACATCGGGAATACCGACTGCGGCAGTTTTGCTTCAGATGACCTTGGCGCTGGTGGCTTATACAAACCCGACCCAGCCCAGGGCCGACTTCTCGCTGGTGGCTTACACAAACCCGACCCAGCCCTGAGTCCACTTTTCGTGCCTCATTGCCACGGAACACAGTGTTCTGCTCATGGGACGAGCTGCCGCGCGCACGGCCAGGGGGGGGGGGGGGGGGGAATGGGACTCTGTGACTCCGAGACCGTGAGTGCTCCGCAGAACTAACGGAGCTTATTTTTGCAACTGTCAACTGTGTTATCCTTACGCCAATAGCCGAACCTAACGGAGGGGCCCGTAAATAACCATCAAACAAACAGAACACAGCGTGACATAGCAAGAGCCGGTACACGGACGCTGTCAGCCTTTGCAGCACGCCCAGCTCTCCACTAAATCCTTATGAAAACGAACGATGGTGGCGTTGTTAAGGTCAGTCTGTCAAACCTTCTTCAAGGTTTTTTATTTAAAATGGAGCGGTAATTTGGCGTCCCTCTGAAAACAGCAGCGCGGAGCGGGCGTGCGCAACGTGCCTGGCAACCGGCGCTGGTTGCTACCTCCTAGCTCAGGCTGAAGCTTTTCTGCCTTGCAAATAGGGTTGGTCCGAGCCAAGGCGTTTGGTCAAAGTGCACTCTGGGAAGCTCTTGTGTGAAGCGTCATATGAGTCCTCTCGTGTGTCTGTCCTAGCCGATCTATTATCTCTCGGTGTAACACTTCATTCCGCAATGTTCTCGTACCGATATCCTCATTGGTGATCGTCTGTCACATATCACACATCACATCGCATGTCACATGGTGTGTACGGCGCTCCCGCAGCGCATGACATCATGCCCCACCCACCGCCCCGCTGGCCGAGGCGCCGTGTCGATCGTGTGTCCGCGCCCCACGCGTCGGTAGTCCCACCCACCGCCCCGCTGGCCGAGGCGCCGTGTCGATCGTGTGTCCGCGCCCCACGCGTCGGTAGTCCCACCCACCGCCCCGCTGGCCGAGGCGCCGTGTCGATCGTGTGTCCGCGTCCCACGCGTCGATAGTCCCACACTCCGCGCTCGCTGGCCGGGCCGCCGCGTCAGCCGTGTGTCCGCGCCCCATGCGTCGATAGTCCCACACTCCGCCCCCGCTGGCCGAGGCGCCGTGTCGATCGTGTGTCCGCGTCCCACGCGTCAATGGTCCCACACTCCGCACCCGCTGGCCGAGGCGCCGTGTCAATCGTGTGTCCGCGCCCCATGCGTCGATAGTCCCACACTCCGCCCCCGCTGACCGGGCCACTACGTCAGCCGTGTGTCCGCGCCCCATGCGTCGATAGTCCCACACTCCGCACCCGCTGGCCGAGGCGCCGTGCCAATCGTGCGTCCGCGCCCCACGCGTCGATGGTCCCACACCCCGCACCTGCTGACCGGGCCGCCGCGTCAGCCGTGTACCCGTGCCCCACGCGTCGATAGGTCCCACCCACCGCCCCCGCTGGCCGGGCCGCCGCGTCAGCCGTGTGCCCGCGCCCCACGCGTCGATAATCCCACCCACCGCCCCGCTGGCCGGGCCGCCGCGTCAGCCGTGTGTCCGCGCCCCACGTGTCGATAGTCCCACCCACCGTCCCGCTGGCCGGGCCGCCGCGTCAGCCGTGTGCCCGCGCCCCACGCGTCGCCGAAGCCCCGCTGAGCCCGGCGCCGTTGGCTGTTGCAGAGGAGGTGACAGCGACGGCGGACATGCGCCGGGAGGCTCAGTTCATGCTTGGCTCACCCGGTAGGTGGCGGGACTAACCGACCGGTGGAGGCCGCGCCCAGCCGCACGCCTCTCGCTCTCTGTCTGCCTCTAACGTGGTCGCCGCTCTGCCGCGTGCCGACGGACCCGATCGTGTGACTCGTATCGCTTTGGTGTCGTCTGAAGTGAGCGCTATGCTTCCGAGCGGTCTCCTTCAGTGCTCTTTTGTATGACGAAGCGAGCCTGGGGGAGATCTAACGCTTCGCAGCACACATCTGCTCCTGAGACGTGCTGGGCGAGCGCGCTGTGATGCATGGCCGTACCGTTAACTCTGCGTTCATGTTTTGGTGACGTCTTACCTGATGCGGGGACGGATACAGCATGTCATGACTGGTGATGGCTTGGTCTTGTCAGTGTTGATATATCGCCGTCTGCCTGTGGTGAAGGACTCAACACATTTACTACGCACACGTAACGCTACTGGGAGCACAGTCTAAATCCGCGTCTGAGGGACGGACGGAGGACAGGCCAGTGGCGCACATGCTCCAGGCAGGCGTGCGAAGAGTGCCCGGAGTTTTGGTCTTCACTCGTAACCGAACATCTTGCCATGACTTCGTCTGAAGCCCATAGTGTGGTGCTCTGACGCATCTCACCTCGAAACAAGACTGGTCCGACGCTGCCACGCATTTAAGATGCTGCCGTCACACTTGCTGCCACATCCGGCTTCAGTTCGGTTTGTGAGCTGCTACTAGCACACGCATGACGCCGTGCCGACTAACCCTAACCGACTGCTGCTAGTGAAATCATCTCACGCAAGATGATTGGTTTGGATCATCATCTCATGATGATGATGATGATCGCATCCACCCGGGGAGCGGATGACCGAATAGGGTCCGGAACGTGATGTGGAGAAAATCTTGACAAGATGTGTGCGTGTGCGATCCGAATGCCCTGAAAACTGACAGAAAAGACTTGATCGCACCATGGAAAGCCCGTCATCCCCTTCTCCGCCTCATAAAAGCTTGCTGGCGTATATGAAGGCCTCTTGCGCGTATGAGGGCCTCTGAGAGCCTCTAGCGTATACGAAGACTTATGAGGCCCTCTGGATTGGCAGCTTTTTGCGAACATCTCTGATATGGAGCTGCCTACAAACAGAAACACACACCAAAACTAAAGTAACCAGTGCCAAGATGCGACCTGCATGAACGCACAGCTTACGAAGCTCGTGATCCTCCGGTTGCCGGAGCCAGTGTTGGCCGAAATTCGGTGGGTGGAGAGACTGCCGCCGGGGCTGTCGAACGGCACCCAACGCCTGGCGTCCTCTAGCGAGAAGCTCGCGCCGTGCGCGGGCTTAACTTTTGGAACCTGCTCTTTGGAAGTCGATGGTGGAAAGTCATACGGCATGGTCTGGTGCGGTGAAGGGTGTGAGGTTAGGCAGGTGACTGGGCGATCGAATCCAGCCGGTAAGTGGTTGCACCTCGCACGTGGGACGTGATTGAAGAATGACACCTCCGTCCTGCCACTGCCGCCTACCTACAACTGCCAAGTCGGTGGACGCTGGCTGGCAGGATCGTGACATCCAACCTACGATGTACGGGACGTACGTGCTGAGGTGTACCCCCCACCATGGAGCTTGCAGTTGGGAGCCTTAGACGCTACATTCCGTAAACTTTGTTTATTCATTCTACAATTTTCTCTGGCGCGAAGGTTCTTTACCCCGCCAAGATCAAGATGATCATTGTCAAGATGTGACCTAATTTACCCTCCCCGGAAAGCAGAAACTGGTTCGTCCTCGATTTTGGGCTCAGTTTCTTCTCAAACTTTGGGGGAGCGCCAAGTGCAACGGGAACTGCGTCCCTTCCCCGGATTCTTCATTCGCTCATGTTTCATTAGGAGTGGCGTGCTGGTCTCCAGTCGTGCAACTCCGTTTTATTCGCTGAAAGCTCCATCTGTCTCATGTGGTTCCTGTTTGCCCTCGTACCGCATGAAGAGAGTTTTATCAGATCTGAAGTTCGCTGCTAAAACTAAGTGCGCGACGTTAGCCATCGTCACTACTCATTGCCTGATGTGAGCCACCGGTACAAAAGCCGTCGAAGCCGTGTGACTTGGCGAGACAGGATTACTAATGCGCCTCTCTGTTTGTGATGCTACAGCTGGTTGGTAATGCACGCTCCTATAAGCGGTGTCACTGCTAGAGCTCAAACATGCGCAAGGATTTTCTGCTTCAGAAAATAGAGCATCATTTTACTTAACAGCTGATCATGCAGCCACCTATCGTGAACATCTCTAATTTATGTCTCTCCCTGTTATTTTGAAGGGTGACAGCATCCGACCTCACAGCTCTATCAAGGACATATTGTTCGTCAATAATTCTTGACCAAATGCTGCCGGTACCGCGGGACCACAGCCGGCAGCTCCCCACGGTGCGTTGACAGCCCTGCCAGCACAGCGCGCTCTAGGTACACGCACTCGAGGTACAGCGAGCCGCGACAGTTTCCCAGATCTCTCGGTCCCCCTTCGGCGGGCCACGCGGCCACCTCGATCCCACGCTGATGTCCGACCCGTCCTGGCCGCCAGAGGCTTCACAGCTGCCCAGCCCGGAGGTCTCCAAAGGTCCGACGCCGGCCATCTCCATGGAGAAGCTGAACCAGGAGCTGACGGCGCCAGCAGCCGGCCGGCAGGGTGCCACCACCTACGCCTTCAACGGCGACTCCTCCGGCAACGGCTACATCGGCGCCACAAATCTGCAGGTCCCGGTGAGCAGCGCTCGTGCCCACTGGTGTGAGGGCCCGGACGTTTGTCTGAATTCCGCAGCGTGAGCGCTGCTGCGCCCAATCGACGTGGAGCACGAAAGTGATATCAAAGGGTGCCTGGGCAGGCCAGGAAGCCCTTTTACGCCTCGTTAGATGGAATGCATGCACCGTTGATGTATATCGTGCATGCGCGGCCGCTGCATAGCCCAACAAGACGCCGAAGTCTACTGAAACCAGTTGTAGATCACTGACGTCACAAACACTGCGGTACGATCGATACATTCTCAAACATGGGCAAACGATCCGATCCATGTGAACGACTGAGTCTCGGTGGCGCTGTAATGGTAATGGAGCGGGCATATCTTCGCTGCATAACAGCCATATACATTCGCCAAGGTGATTGCACCCATGTGATTGCAGCGAATCAGCCTTGCAGCAGCTACGTAGAAGGCGTGCTGTATTCATGGATTTCGCACTCCCTTATGGAGACCTCGTAAGTGGTGTGCTGCTGCGTAGTGGTGTGTCTATCACTACGCCCGGTGTCATGCCCGCATATACGGTAATCCTGGGAGCCTCTTTACTCGCAGTGACATCCTTAATCCTTCGACAGAAGGACCAGACGGTGGTGGCCACCGGGAAAGCACACGGCGGCGCTCTGCCTGGGAACACGAGCCAGCTGCCGCTAATTGCTCCGCTCGACGCCCGCAAGAACTCCAACGTGCTGCCGATCGCCGTGAGTGAGCCGCCTCGCGACCGGGTCGGTCTCAGCAGCCGCCCTCGCCGGGAGTGTACCGCCTCGCGGCCGGGGGGGGGGGGGGGCTCAGTAGCCGCCCTCGCCGTGAGTGTACCGCCCCACGGCCGGGTCTGGCTCAACAGCCGCCCTCGCCGTGAGTGTACCGCCTCGCGGTTGGGTCGGGCTCAGCAGGTCGGCACCTCAGCCACCAATGCGTGCCATGCCATTAGTGTACCGCCTCGCGGTTGGGTCTGGCTCAGCAGCCGCCCTCGCCGCACCTGCAGCCACCAATGCGTGTCATTAGTCACGGAACAAGTCTTCGGAGAGAAAGCACCCGCGCCATCAAAACATCATGCAATTATTCGGATGAACACGACCAGCAACAAATGCGTCTGCGTCGAGCCCAAAGCAGAACAATTAGGACCGTGCGTGCGGATTGGGAATTGGCTCTCAATCCGCCTCGGAGATGCGCTGAGGATGCAGCCATAGAGAGCGGTGTGAGCTCCGGGAGAGAGCCCTCCGTAGACGGCTGTTTTCCAACAAGGAATCTCTTCCGGGCGGTGTCTGGTACCTGATAGGCCTGACAGTTGTGCTGACTGGCTTACCGAGCGTCACGAGAGAGGCACGCTCGGCTCGTCGCGGCACGCCCGGTCGTGTTCCGCCGCCGGCGGTGTGGTGGGGTCTTTTGTTCAAGGCTAACTCGTTCGGCTGTGTTTTGTAGGTGCTTTTAATGCGGTTCTTTTGGATGGCAACAGTTTTTGCTGTTGGCTGCATTAGGAAGCTAGGGAGTTATTAATCGCTTTAGGGTTTTTCTTTCGAGATAAGTGTACAAGGCCTGTGCTATTTTTAGTTCATTCGATAGCTTCGGCCCCAGCTCTCTGTATTGATAGTCGCGTAGTGACTGCGTTCTGTAGCCCGCCATTTTGGACAATGCGGACCCGTGAGTGTGACAGTACTCTCAATCGTCAGTCGCGTGACTGCTCAGAGTTCGCTGACGACTGAGCAGTGGTCGTGGCTTGCTGCCCGTTGTAACAGCGCCCCGCTTCCCTGCAGGCGGCCAAGGAACTGCGGGAGCTGTCGCGGCCCGAGCAGCCCGAGGTCTCCCGCCTCTTCTCGGCGCTGCAGGTGATGACGGCCAGCTTCGGCAGCTTCGCGCACGGCGGCAACGACGTCAGCAACGCCATCGGGCCGCTGATCGCCGTGTGGCTGATCTTCATGGAGGGCTCGGTGGCACAGAAGGCGGAGACGCCGCTCTATATCCTCTTCTACGGCGGCGTGAGTGCCGCTGGAGAGATGTGGAGGGGAAACGCAACTGTACCCGACACTCAAGCCCGTATGACTGCCCCCACCCTGACCAGGCCGAGATCGCGCTCGCAGGGGCCCTACATGACATCATCCTAGGGGTAGTCGTGGCTTGAAATCTGTATTAAATTCAAGGCGTGAATAATCGACTTGGAAAAGGGGCCCATGAAAGAGCGCAAATTTTATGACCGACTTTACCGGGGTACCACAAACCATGCTTTACAATTGAAGGGATGTTAGATGGGGGTTAATCGGTTAAGATTCGTCATATATCGGACCAAAATGTTTGCACTTAATGCCATGAATCAAAGTGCAAGACATGGCGGATATCTGTCATCCATATGTAGCCACATGACAGCGTTTGACATGGCGGCAATACGGGTATCGAACACAATATCCAGTTTTCCCTACGGGGATGCTTATTTTTTTCGATAATTCTACCCGGCATAGCATTGGCTATAGCTTTTGAGAAACGTAACATCACCCAGTCAGTATGCATGGTCCCAAGCTGAACTGCACCTCCAAATATATATATATATATATATATATATATATATATATATAACGTGTGTCAGAAATCAGCACAGTGGGTTGCCGTGACAGCTGTCGTTAGTTTGTGTCGACCGCAATATCCGCTGACATGTAGTCTGGCTTGTTTTCAGCTCGGTATATCGGTGGGCCTGTGGGTTTGGGGCCGACGGGTGATCAAGACCATAGGAGAGGACCTCACCCAGCTGACGCCCTCCAGGTTAGTTGCCGGGGGGGGGGGGGGGGGGAGGCGAGCTGCGTCTTGCCCGCTACTGGACGCTCTGAACCGGACATCTGCTGCCTGCGTCTGCAATCACTGAACTAATGAGACGTACCTTGCTGTACGTGCGCACGTACCGTTTGTACGTATGTGCCGTTCCCTGCGTGATGCTCAGGGGTCGCTGGTACATGCTGTATCATTGCATAAAAGGCTTGTTAATACAAAAAAGCCAGCGAAATGCTCCTCGCCGGCGTCGGCATGGTGCCGAGGACACGCTTCTCTAGCAGTGGGCTGGCCTGAGCGTTGTCCCTGCGCCCAAACCGGCATGAGCGCTGACCGTGTCCGATGCCCGCCGCCACAGCGGATTCACCATCGAGCTGGGCGCCGCCTTCACCGTGCTCTTCGCCTCGAAGATCGGCCTGCCCGTCTCGACCACCCACTGCAAAGTCGGCAGCGTGGTGTTCGTGGGCTGGGCGCGGAGCACGCGCGCCGGCGTCGACTGGAAGGTGTTCAGGTGACTGGGCTGGAGGGCCGCGCCAGGGCGGGCGTCGGAGAGCAGCAAGCTTTTGGGTGTTAGGTGCTGGTTGGTAGGTTGGATATGTATTAATGGTTGCGTGTAATTTTGATAAACGCCTAACTAACTGGTAGTTATTGTCAAATCAGCAAATCTTGTCATGGGACCCTTCTCGAACTTTGAAGAAGATAAAAAAACAAGTCTACTATTAGTTGAGAAGGCAGCTGCATTTGCGTTCATTATCTGCGTGTTGTAACAGCTTCCAGTTCTCCTGCAGACGAAAGGGATGCTTTATGAACCGTTCCCGCTCTCACCATACTCCCCGTTTGTTTCAGAAATATCATCATCGCATGGCTGGTGACTGTTCCTTTCGCCGCCGGAGCCAGCGCCGGCCTTATGGCCATTTTCCGCGCGGTGGCGCTCTAGTCACCATGCAGGCGGCGCCACCCCTCCCCCCCCCCCCCGCCGACTCATTCACCGGCATGGGCGCTGTGCTGATATCAACTATTTTCGTAAGGACAAGCGGTAGAGCGGCTCGAAAGCCCTGGGAAATCTGCGTCAGAGTTTGGAGAAACAAGGTCTGACGTCGAAGAAAATGTTGTCTCTTCGGTCACCGGTAGTCCCGAACAGACCTGAAAATTGACGGCCAAAAAGCATAGCAATAATTTCCATTTTTCGTGTTGTCGAGAGATATGCATTTTGATCACTTATGCGGCTCTAATTTAAGGACAACGTTATTCGCAACGCGGAACGTATCTGGCACGTACTTAGTTCTAAGTTACTGCAGTTGCGATGTTGTGCTGTTGCGGTGCACTGGTGAGATTTGTGGATACTTCAAGCTCTTGGGGTTCTCACGGTTTTGGACTTCTACTCCTTGTTCGTGTACGATGTTTGTCTTAAGAGTCTGAAACATGAAACTTGGGTACGCCTGTTTAAGGAAGACTGCTTAAGAGTTGACTGCGTTTGATTAGCTGTGGGATATGTTCCAAGGTGCCCACACCATGCACGAAATAATTTTAGGTGTGACCTTACGTTGCGCCTTTCTCATCAAAATTGTCATTCATGGAATTAACGTGTCAGTACGTAGCACAACATCATATTTCTGCATGAAGCCGCCTCTCTCTACACGAAGCTCTCCTCTGACTGCTACGCAATTGTGCTACTGGTTTTTATTCGGACGCCTGCCTCCGACATGATGTAATGCGGCATCAAAAATCGGTGTAATGAATTGGTTTAAAGAGTCGATCACATGACTAGGCATTCTGAGTGATCAGATTTTCCGGGTGGATAAATTGTTTGCGTGCCACAGAAGCTCATAACTTTTTGTTCGTGAATTGTTGGCCTCGCCTAATTGAGGACCGTATGTGACGTTCTGCCCGTCTCTTTTTGCGCGCGCACGGATTTAGCATTTGTCGTCCGTTTGCAAAAGATCAGGTTCTTAAGTCGACAGCATATGCGGTGCTTCCAGTCGTAATACAGTATGTAAGCTTCGTACTGTATGCTCGGGGCTCTCATTCTTCCCACAGCCGGTGCTCCAGAATCACTCAGAACACTGCACAAAGTCGCTTCTATTTCCAAACGTTAAGAAGTCTTTTTTTGGACGCCACCCTTGGACCAATTCTGTAGCCTCACATGACCTGCTGTTTTACTAGTAATGCGCACAGTCATCCCATCAGGGCCCCGGCCCCGCGAACAGTGGAAACCGCGTAGGCATTTGTCCCGTCTTCCCGTGCCACGTGCGCGGCATGGCACGGACGCCGCCTCCGGCAGCTGCGCCGGGACGCTGGCCCGGGAACCGAGGCTCGCGCATGCTCTGCGCCACCCTCGCCTCGAAAATGCTCAATGCGGCGCTCGGCGGGCCACCCGCGGCGCGGAGCGTTGTCGAGTGCTGGCCGACCGTCAGTGCGAGTGCTGCCACCTGTCCGTGATTCTGTGAACTACTCCTGTCGCGGTGGGCCGCTGCGCCGCCCGGCCTGAGGAGGTTTGTCTCGCAATCAGTGCGCAGATGGGGAGCGGTGCAATGTCTTGTGTACTCGTCAATGTGTTTTCCGACACGTTTGGAGATTCGACTTGGAAATATAGCGTTTCTTTACGTGTGTGTGTCGCATTCTGCATGGTTTGCTTTGCGTTATTTTTGGATTGGTTCTCTGAAGTGACGGATCGGGACGGCTTCGGTCAAAATTACACCAACTATAGGACACGTGCCCAAGATCATCGACGGTGAAAAATTAATGATAAATCGTATGGTAACTTCCTCATCATAGATTCCGTATTCTTCATGAATCACATTTCAGCTCCTTCATCATGTCAACGCCAACCAAGGTATGGACCCCTCTTTTGACGGAGGCGTACTACGCGCGTCGTTAGCGACAGGGGGGTGGGGGGTGGGGGAGTGGAGACACAGGGTTGCATAAGGGTCCCCAGATAGAGCAAGCCCCTCCCCAAACAAAAATCGTCGGATGTGACCTATTTGCTAATAAAGGTTTGTTTTTGTTAGTTATTTGTATTAGTTATACCTTCTATTACTGGAACAGAAGCCAGAAGCTATTGCGAGATAAAATACATCCGCCTGAATTTTGTTGCTAATTAGTTGAAAAAAATTATTCTCTAAGCGACTGCGTGAAATACATCGCAGGCGCTTTTCATCTTGTGATGATCGAGTGGACTCTTTTTAAACTGGTGGACTTCATAATCTCTGCCAGAATTTTTATCTGGGCTCTACAGATTTATTAATGACCCTGCGAATGTAGAATGCAGATTGAAATAGGTCAACAATTCGTATCAACGTGGCGGAGCCGTGTTTGTTTGGAAATATTCAACCTGCAATAGGAAGCAATAAATGATACAAATTATGCAATGTAGTTTTGAACACGTGCGCTGGCAAATCTTCACAGCACCGTCCTAAAGACTTCCCAAAACGCAGGCGGCTGAGCTGGAGAGGTTTCGATAACTGGTATCGACTATTATATTAGAAGAAACCAAGCAGGCATCAGCACTGGTCGCAACACACATCGGAACCGTTTCTAAGCGAGCGCTACCTAAAAAGGTTGTTTTTATCAGGTCACGCAATCATATCCGCGCGTTCAGCCCTGGACAAAGACTGCGAATGTGCACCTGTTCTAACAGTTTTAAGTCATCGTTGTCTTTTGCTGTTTCTAACACTTCTTCTTTAAAGCTGGCATGTGATGCGCTATGCTCCATGGAGGCGTATTGCTCTAGCATGGGCCCGTTATAGTGTGCACGGTCATGATAAACATTCGTCTCCAAGGTGTTCAAACAACCGGTCACGAATGCCACGTTTTGTTTCTCTTAGATAGCACATCACGGGGCAGGGACTACGGGAGGTCTTATATGCATTGTTCTTCCGTGTGTGTTTTCTTTACAGTCATGTGCACATGCATGGGAAATCCTGTCTCAACGTCGAAGTCTCTAGCGCTGACAGTGCTAGCATGGAAATTGAGCTTGGGCCACTGGTCCACGCTACGTTTAGACCTCGCAAACCACCGTACCGCACGGCGATATTGACTTGTTTGCGCAGCTGTTATCTATAAACAGCAGACTTTAATATGCACAATTGGCCTTCTTAATCTTTGAAAAGCAAAAAATAAAAACAGAGGGAATTGAACCAACCGATTTGAACAAAGATGCCCGACTTTAAGCTGGGTTAGGTTTTTGATTTTTCCGACTTAAAAAACTTTCGAGTAGATAAATCTTTTCACAAAACACTTGCAAAACGCAATCCCTCCACGTGACCTCCTGGGGGCCCTAGTTTAGCTGGGGCGTTTCCAGCGAGATGGCTCTGCAGGAATAAATTTACCGCAATTGATTATTTCGAGGATATGTTGATCACCTTTGGATTCTGTCGCGATTAAAATCATCGTATTCCACTGTTCTAACTTCTACACGGACCAGATGAAGGGTTAAGTCGTAAACGTGCGGCACAATAGGCAGACGTTATTCGGTGTTCTGGGTGTCCATCCTTACGAAAAAGAAAGGATGTTTTGGTCGGACTGCGCACTAACTTCCGCATCAGAGGATATACGCACCACCCTCCGAATTCGATACAAAGAACCACTTTCTTAGTAGCAATCAGGTGCCATGGACACTTTTTTAGAAGTAATTTCGTGCAGCAAATACCTTACCTTTTACTGTGTATCGAATGGACATATCAGCATGGAGAACTGGCAGCAAATATGGATGTAGAAGCTCGCATGGTAGCCCATTTTGATATATTTCTTAATGGCTTGCCTAACCTTGCCCATTATGACGTCGTGAGCTACTGGTGCAGCTTGAAACGTCGGGTACTGACAGCATGAGTAATATTTACTCGCTTTCGCTGTTTAACCGGTGCCTTCTGGTGCTTTAAGGGTCGAGAACTGACAGCATAATAGCTCTGAACTCCTAATGCGGAAAAAGAAGGACTCAGAGCCTTCCTTGCTTATATCCAGTACATCTGTAGTGTTCAGATGCTTATAGACCATATACAAGCCAGAGATATGTGGTTTAATGACGTGAGCTCAGATGTGTAGTGACACACAGGCCCTCATGATGCAATAGACCCGACGGCCTGCCAGAGGATGGGTGAGCAGCCCAGGAGTGGTCTCGTGAAGGGGTTTGTTAGCAAGGCTCTTGGTATCTCTCAACGCCCACGAACCGTGTTACGGGTCCTCGATATTACTGATGGGCATTCCGGTAGTGGATGCGTTGTATTTAGTGTGCTGCGTTTTAGCGCAGAGACCACTCAAGAGAGCTGTTTCACACGTGCTGCACTACTTTTTGCTCACTGAAGTCAACGGGGGTTTTAATATTGACCAGATAGTGTTTACATAAAAGAAACAAAAAAAAAACAAGCGTATCTACTTTTGATGTTTGTCGTATGTACTCAGGAAAAAAACAGCTAGTCCAACTGGCGCGACGTTTTCATAGGCGGATTAATGATTGAGATATCAAGGAGCAGTCGACCTGTTTTCATCTCGCATACTCACACCATACAATCTGCCAATGCGTAGGTTGCGTTTTTTTCCCGTGATGAAACTATGTCTTGGTTAGGTATTTCGAAATGGCTCTAACGTTCTGCCAAGCTATGCGTGTCGAAAGGTGATTGGATCTAATTGCGTAGTTAATTATTTTAGTCAGGATGTCGTCGATGAAAGATGGAGAGATGAAGGTGACTGCGTCGGTGTAAATGTTTCCCTATGTTTTGGTGTCGGATGGAATTAAGCCTGAAAGTAGACCTAGCTCGGCATTTTACTCATAAGCAAGACACTGGGATGCTAACCACTCGTAGCTCGTGCCGCCCGATACTCCAATCAACGTCAGAAGACAGGGGTGATAGGGACAAACGACAAACTTATTCTGGGTTAATGCTCCATTTTATAATTTGAAATGGCGACCTTGTGAACATTTCAGTGGCATGGGTCTCTATCCACCCAGTCCGTGTGAGTTGGCAAATTATGAAATCAAGTGCACCCCTAATCGTTCCAATGGTAGGTATCTAATAGACTACTCCGATAGGTATGTATCAGGTAGTTAGCATCAAGAGAACCCCACAGTCTACGTATTTATTTGATTTATAAGTTGCTCTAGATTCACCATTTGGCGAGTGAGGATAGGCTTCCGTGACCGTGCTCATTCTCCAGGCATCTTCAGCTCACCCCGAAGCAAGCCTAACTGCCGCCACAGCTACTGGAGTCGCAGTAGATGCGTCAAGACGGGGAATACACTCCAGTGACATGAGAGAGAGAGAGAGAGAGAGAGAGAGAGAGAGAGAGAGAGAGAGAGAGAGAGAGAGAGAGAGAGAGAGAGAGAGAGAGAGAGAGAGAGAGAGAGAGAGAGAGAGAGAGAGAGAGAGAGAGAGAGAGAGAGAGAGAGAGAGAGGAGAGAGAGAGAGAGAGAGAGAGAGAGAGAGAGAGAGAGAGAGAGAGCAGGAGACTCTAACGCTTTAAGATCCACCATGCATGTCCACTGCTGCCTCGTGCGTGCACGGCAGTTTCAAGGTTGTCTGAAGCCGTAGTGGGCACACGCCGCTGCTGCCATCTAGGAGGTGCCGTGGCGTAACCGGAGCTCGCAGCGGGGTGTGGCTGCGCACCTCGTTTGCGTCACGTCCTCCGCGAGCTGAGCATGCCGGTTTCTTCATCGGTGCCTTAGCTGGTTCTGTCCGAGCCCGGCCGGCTGATAATCATTGCCGGGCCGCGGCGTCGACTGCAGGAGCACGGGAGCAGCCACGTCCGGGTTCTGAGGCTGAATGAGCGCGAAAGGGAGTGGCGGAAATGGCGCTGAGAGCGAGCTGTGTTTTCCTGTAGCAATGATTGGAAATGTGTGACGGTTTGGGTCCTTGGGGTAAGGACGCTCTCGGTATTCTGTAACTGGAAGTGAGTGAGTGACATTTTATGTCATCTCCGCAGTCTATAGCGGGTCTGAATGTGTACAGAACCCTAATTTATCACGCAACACTGCCAACCCGGGGTAGGATCACTTTCATGACAATGCAAACAGCTAACTGATGGCTTGTCGTGGCATGCATTGCAATGAGGTCGGTGGGGTACAGGATGACGACATGGAATATTTGTTCGAACGATGCTTGAAAGAAAAGGCAGGATGTGTTCGAATGCAGCAATGTTTTTTTTGTATCCACGCTGCATCTGTCATTGATAATTATACATAACAAATCAGCCAGGAAAATGCAGTACACTGATAGGCATTGACTATAAAATGGTCTGCTTGTGGGAGGAACATCCAGCAGTGCCCCTAGGCCGAAGCTCTAGATGGGCACAAGGTTTTCGAATTCGCTATAGTAATCATTCATACGCCTTATGTGCTCCATCATTGCTAATCCAGATTAAGTGCTACCGTCTCGGCTCCCAGTACTCCGGCGAAGCCTTAATAATGGGGAACGTCTCTGAAGGCGACAGACTTCTGACAGGAACCTCTACTAATCTTGCATGAGATTGCAGATGAATTGACTGTGCGTCTTATATAGACGTAGTGAGATGTTTCGGCATGGGAGATAGCTACCTGACGATAGAACGGAACTCAAAAAGCGCGTCGCAATATTCTCTTGGAGGAGAGGTCTTTGAAATGCCCCATAGTTGGAA